CTTCCATATTTGGCAGCTGATGATCTTGATGGACCAGTACCCTTGCTTTTTGACCATATACTTGCAATATCTTCTTGTGCACGACAAGCTTATAACAATGAAGGTTACTCTATTGCATCTTTTTATACTTCTTTTTGTTTCTTTGAGAGTATGTAAGGTTAGGGTATGTTAACAGCTTATTCAGCTTAATGGGACTCACAACTTATTCGGTCAGCTATACATAACTATTTGGTAGTGACCTAACGAAAGGGATCAATCTTGTTGGGAGGTATTATAGAAAGTGGCTTATTCGGTATGCTTCTGGTGGGAGCTTTATGCAGAAAGCCAAATTTTTCCCAAACCTGCCCGTTCCAATTAAAAACAACACTCCTTCCATGTATGAAAAAACCCTCCCAATCTATACAAACAGTTTAATCTACGCAGTCAGCTTTATGCATACAGGACTTAATGGAAAACCAATCAAACAGCCTCTTATTTGGTTAGATAAGTATGCATGAAAAGTATTGTTCGACTTGGTAACTAATTTAATCCTGGTGATGGTATTACATTCTTTGTATAAATCTTTTTTGTGACTCTGTAGCATTGGTGTTCCACTAAAAATATATATCTCCAGGTGGGCTATTCATCATGACTGGTGACGTGCTTCCATGTTTTGATGCATCTGCTATGGTTCTTCCCGAGGATACATCCTGCATCATTACTGTGCCTATCACTCTCGATATTGCCTCCAATCATGGTGTTATTGTGGCATCCAAAACTGGGAACTCAGATGAAATTTGTTCAGTTAATCCTGTTGCAAATCTACTTCAAAAACCTAGCATGGAGGAGCTTAATAGGCACAATGCCATTCTTGATGATGGTAGGACATTACTCGATACTGGTATTATAGCGGTTAGAGGTAAAGCATGGGAAGATCTTGTTACGCTTTCTTGTTTGAGCCAACCGATGATCTCAGAACTTGTGAATACTAGAAAAGAGGCAAGCATTCAACTCCTTGATTAAAGCCGGATATTTCTAACAATTTCAAATACATTTTGTATGATATTTGTCATTAATTGTTATCCTAAAGTGGATTAACAGTATCATTTTGATATGATTACTTTTTTCACTTGTGCAGATGAGTTTGTATGAAGATCTTGTGGCTGCTTGGGTACCCGCAAGGCATGAATGGTTGCGATCAAGACCTCTTGGTGAAGAACTTGTGACGAGATTGGGGAAACAGACCATGTATAGCTATTGCGCTTGTACGTGAATCTTGTTTGATTCCATTAATATCAGCTAACTTGATGGAGTTCTTTTGGATATTATGATTCTCCAACAATCTCTAGATCTTTATGAAGATTTTCCTAAAATAAACATGCAGATGATCTGTCGTTCTTGCACTTCGGGACCTCGAGTGAAGTTTTAGATCACTTGAGTGGGATCGGTACAAGACTTGTTGGCCGAAGGCATCTGTGTTCCATTCCCGCAACAACAATGTCCGATATTGCAGCATCTGCTATCATAGTTTCTAGTAAAATATCACCTGGTGTATCAATTGGTGAAGATTCTCTTGTATATGACTCATCCATTTCAGGCGGAATACAAATCGGTTCCCTCTCTATAGTAGTCGGTGTCATTATACCAGAAAAAAACGATAGAACTACAAAAGATCCATTTACTTTCCTCCTTCCTGATCGTCATTGTCTTTGGGAAGTTCCTTTAATAGGGTGCACCGAAAGGGTTATCGTGTTTTGCGGCCTTCATGATAATCCCAAAAACCCGCTTTCAAAAGATGGTACTTTTTGCGGAAAACCATGGGAAAAGGTCCTTGATGACCTGGGTATTCAAGAAAACGACTTGTGGATATCTCAAGAAAAGTGTTTGTGGAATGCAAAACTTTTTCCTGTTCTTCCATATTTTGAGATGCTTAGCCTTGCAAACTGGCTTATGGGGTTAGGAAATTATGGCAAAAACGAAGGCTTTCTTTCGTTATGGCAAACGTCAAAACGTGTTAGCTTGGAGGAGTTGCATAGATCGATAGATTTCCCACAAATGTGCTCAACTTCTGGTAACCATCAAGCCGATCTTGCAGCCAAAATTGCTAGAGCTTGTCTTACTTTCGGCTTGCTTGGGAGGAATTTGGCTCAGCTGTGTCAAGAGATTTTGCAAATGAAAGACTCGGGAGACGAAATATGCAAAAACTTTCTGGAATTGTGTCCGAATTTACTGGCACAAAATTCAAAAATTCTTCCAAAAAGCCGAGCTTATCAGGTGCAGGTTGATCTTCTTCGTGCATGCAACAAACATGAAGAAACTTCTGAAGTCGAGCATCAAGTATGGGCTGCTGTTGCTGATGAAACGGCTTCAGCTGTGAGATACGGCTTTAAAGGTGACCGCAGTTACATTTTGATTTTATATGATGTCAACTATGATTAAATGACCTGATAAACTGTTTTATAGGACTAGACGGTTGTGCGTCCTATGTAAAGGTGTTATAACAAGTTGATAGGACGCTATGGGCGTCCGAACAAGTTTGTTAGGACACTTTTGAAACAAAGCGTCCTGTTAGTCTTTTTATATGACATTATTTTAAAATTTGTCTATATAAAAACCAGCATCATATAAAATAATATGCTCATAGGCTGTAAAAAAACTAATAGGGCGTTTTACTTTAAAAATGTCCTAAAACTTGTTAGGATGCTGCACGCCAGAAAATGTCTAATAAACTATTGGTAACATTTTTACGTAGGACACACAATTGTTTGGTTCTATAAAATTAATTCCTATAAGGCATTATATTAGGACATTTAGACGTATTTAGTGTCTTGTAAAGCCAATTTTGTTGCAATGATGATTGTCAACCGAGTCTTCAATTGCTTTTCTGTCTTTGTTTGCAGAGCATCTCTTTCAATCCTCCAATCAGACATCTTTTAGAGGACAAGATAACAACAATCTTGATGGTTTGGAAGACCAAACTTCCCGCCATAGAAAGGTCAAAGTCGAGTTGCCCGTTCGAGTTGACTTTGTTGGTGGTTGGAGCGATACTCCACCATGGAGCTTAGAGCGCGCTGGCTGCGTCTTGAATATGGCAATAACTTTGGACAATTCTCTCCCTATCGGAATCGTTATAGAGACCACACAAACGCCTGGATTATTAATCACCGATGATGCTTCAAACGAGTTATATATCAAAGATCTCTCCTCTATTACAACCCCTTTTGACCAAAACGACCCTTTTCGCCTTGTGAAATCGGCTTTGCTTGTTACAGGTATTCTTTATGACCGTATTCTGGTATCCATGGGTTTACGGGTCAAAACGTGGGCCCATATACCTCGTGGAAGTGGGTTAGGGACTTCTAGCATCTTAGCTGCAGCTGTTGTGAAAGGACTTCTTCGTATTACCTATGGAGATGAAAGTAACGAAAATGTTGCTAGACTCGTGTTAGTATTGGAACAGATAATGGGAACAGGAGGAGGTTGGCAGGATCAAATTGGAGGTTTGTATCCGGGCATAAAGTTTACGACCAGTTTTCCAGGAATACCCTTGCGGCTTCAAGTCATTCCCCTTCTGGCTTCTCCTAGATTAGTTGCAGAGTTGCAGGAACGTCTGCTTGTCGTGTTCACCGGTCAGGTAAAGACTATTTGATAAGCTAGTTGTTGGCTGATAAGCTAGTTTTCATGTGTTGTTTTATATGAAACATGTGTGAAAATGCAGTGTTTATAGTGTTGTTACATATGTGTGACGTTTAAAACTATATTTTTTTTCACACTCAATACACTAAAACAGTCGTGAACGTTTCACATATGAAACAACATTGTACATTTTTGTATATTCTTTAAAACAGTCCTCCAAAAGGTTCTGAACCTTTCACATTTCTGTACTATATTCTGTAAAACTGCCATATGCAGGTTCGTCTTGCCCACCAAGTCCTCCAAAAGGTCGTGATTCGCTATCTCCAAAGAGACAACCTCCTTATATCGAGCATCAAACGCCTTGCTGAGCTGGCAAAAACGGGAAGGGAAGCTTTAATGAACTGCAACATAGATGAACTCGGAGACACAATGATGGAAACTTGGAGATTACACCAAGAACTCGATCCCCATTGCAGTAACGAGTTTGTTGATCGCCTTTTTGCTTTTGCTGACCGTTATTGTTGTGGCTACAAACTTGTTGGGGCAGGTGGTGGCGGTTTTGCACTCTTACTTGCTAAGAAAACCGAAAGTGCCCGACAATTGAGATGTGCACTCGAAGAAAACCGCGAGTTTGATGTTAAGGTTTATAATTGGAGTGTATGTTTGGAAAACTAGTCAAAATGTGTGATTCCTTTGTACGTAGATACTTCATATATAAGATGTTTAACATTCTATATGCTTGCACCAAGAATGAACCGATGAAGGGCATCATTTTCTCGGCATTCTTCGCCCTATCGGGTTCTCGATTAGGTGTTATTACATTTTGATGTAAATGCATATGATGGAATCTTTGACGTGAAAACAATGTAACGGAGTGAGTTACAAGTACTTGGTTAAACAAACAGACGGATTCGAATGATGGAACAGATAAAGAAAACAAAAAGGAGGTTGTTGGATAGTTTTGCCTTCATGCGATATCACCATCATATCTCACTAATCGTTGCAACTATGAGAACAATCCATAATTTATCTCACTAATCGTTGCAACCATAATTTCTCTCATTAATCGTTGCAACTATGAGAACAATCCATAATTATAAGTAAAATCGTTCTAATTGACGTTTAATAATACAAGTATTTATGTATGAATATTATCTGACTGATGTGTTGGGTTTTAATGGTTCGTATTTATTTACATGAATTGATTGACATACATATTGAACCATCTGGATGTATCAAACACTGTGGATTAGGTGGGATGATGATTGGTTTGGATAAATATGAATTATGCCGAGTGTTGGATCGTGTTCCTTCCTAGTATTCATTTAAACGCTGCACTTGAATTAGATTAATCACGAAAATCAATTGGATTAGCAATGATTATGGTGCATCTTGGTATTTTTAATATCGTAAAGTTGTGATTTTTATCAAGTTTTCGTGAAAAAGTTGTGATTTTTTTCAAGTTTTCGTGAAAAAGTTGTGATCTTTAGTGAACAGATGCGAAAAATTATTTTGTGAAATCCGAAATATTGAAGCTCTAAAATCCAAATTTTCAAGAAGTTAAGCATCTCTCTCGGTTCAATTTCAGGCATGATGTATACTTAAGTTTTATAGTTCTTTCAGAATGGTTCTAATCGTTGTATTTTATGAAACTGACACTTGTTTAGAAACACATTTGTTTTAAAGACACCATGTTATATGACTCACTTCGTTTATTTTAAGTTTCGTTACCATACCAAACCAAATCAAACCAAACCAAACCAAAAAGATGATAACTTTTTTGGAACAAAAACAAAACCTTGGGGTTGGTGGTAATTGCAGGCAAAGTATATGTATAGCTTTCAAATTGAAATATAGAAGCCACAGTCCTTCCAATTTCCGTCTTTATACTTTATACATACTCTTTCTTGGATCCCCAAAAAGGAATCAGAATCTTTATCTTTTGGAAGGGGTAACGAATATAGAACTGCAAATCCTCTTCAGGATTATCTTTAACATTTTTCAATTTCACTTGTAGATTGTTCATTAAAAGTTGCATCTTTTCCTGGAATTATCAATTTCAGTCCTGGAAAAAGAGTTGGGTCACATGGAAAGACCAAGAACCATTTGTGATTAATGAATTGAACGTTGAACCTCCGCACAACCGTCGTCATTGCGAAATTATAAAACCCTAATTACTTATAATCAGCCTTGGCAATGGTTGTTCATCGATGATTTTGTGAACCAATCGTATTTCTCCAACTGTGCGTCTGAGAAAAAACCACAGGAATCGGTGCAAATTGTTTACCCATTTGTGTAATACTAATTCCTGTGGGTTTTTAACGAAATCACAATGTGGGTTTCTGAAACACCTTATTTTTGCTTACAGATTGCTCGAGGAAGAAGCAGCGAAGAAAAGAGAGAGATATGGGGTTTCTTTCGAACAGAGTTGAAAGAAGTGAGATCAAAGCAGGCGATCATATCTACACTTATAGAGCTGTATTTGCTTACTCTCACCATGGTATCAAATCGATCTCCCTTTCCATGTGTTTGTGTGCTAAATCATGTTGTTGATGGAATAATTTTTCACCAATTGGAATGTTGATTTTGTGATTACGTTGTTTAATGATCTTAATTTGCAAATAGATACCGTGTTTGCAAAGCATTTGTGTTAACCCTAATTCAAAGTTTAGTTTAACCTAAATACGAGCCCTAACAACAACGATCACACAAATCATAAATGTACGTTTGATCTTTCGTTTCCTGCAAACTTTGTAGTGTGTGATTACTGATCCTAACAGATACCGACCCAGATTCAAAGAACCATATTAGTTCTCTTGTCTGCAGATCCATGCATTTCAACAAGAATACGATCTTATAATTTTCAATTGAGCTTTATAAATTCAGAGAAACATGTTATTAGGTTAGTTCTAGGGTGTAGATTAAAATAATCTATATAGATTGGGAAGGTTTTTGTTTAGGGTTTTTTTCCATAGATGGAGGGAGGGTATTTTTTTAATTTAAACACTTGGGCTTTCTGTATAAAGCGTCCCCTAGAAACCTACTGAATAAGCCACTTTTATATCATTAAACTACTACCAAACAGTCACATAGCTGGCTGAATAAGCTATAAATGTCATTAAGCTTGTTAAGTTGCTAACAAACAGACCCTAAACTAGGGTTTGCTTCAATGGATGCTTACCTGAAATTGGTATTTTGAAGATTTAGCAATCAAAATAGGATGAACCATTTTCACCTAATTTGCAGGTTGTTGGGGATGGATTCAAGATACAATCATATATCTGTTGCTATACAGCACCAAACCTTGCATGTCATTAGGCCTTAATGGAAGTGCATAATCCCTCCATCCCAACAATTAGTCCACTTTATAACTTGAAAACAATTTAAAGATATGAACTTTTTTTTGAAAGACTTCTGCAACGACATCCATGGAGGTGAAACCTTGCTTCCTATATGCTAAGACGTTTTTTCTTTAATGCTATTTTGCAATAACTTCCATGTCTAGGTAATGCTATTTTGCAATAACTTCTTATATGCAGGTATCTTTGTTGGAGGTAACAAAGTGGTCCATTTTACCCATTTTACCCCTGATCGTGAGACGAGTTCAAGCACCGAAACCTCTTCCAATTCTTACGATGGAATGTCCAAAACGCCCTCCTGTCAAACATATCCAGACTGTGGTTTTCGACAACCTAAAAGTGGAGTTGTCCTCTCCTGCTTAGATTGTTTTTTACGAAATGGGACCCTCTACACCTTTGAATATGGTGTAACCCCAACCTTCTTCCTTGCCAAAGTACGAGGTGGCACTTGCACCACAGCCACATCGGATGGTCCCGGCACAGTCATCCACCGAGCCATGTATTTGCTTCAAAACGGATTTGGGAACTATGACGTGTTTCAGAACAACTGTGAGGACTTTGCTTTGTACTGCAAAACTGGGATACTGACCATTGACAAGTTGGGAATTGGAAGAAGCGGACAAGCTTCTTCTCTCGTTGGTGCACCATTGGCGGCTCTTCTCTCCTCCCCTTTTAAATTCTTGATCCCGAGCCCGGTGGGTGTTGCTACTGTGACGGCAGGAATGTATTGCATGAGCAGATATGCTACTGATATTGGAGTCAGAACTGATATTGTCAAAGTAGCTGTCGAAGATTTAGCTGTGAATCTTGGTTGGATGGATGGTTTGGAAGAAGAATTTCAAGAAAACAAAGCTTCAAGTGAAAACAAGAATCAGGTAATTCATGTTGATTAATCTAATGCTGCTACATTTGCTCCACGGATTTCGTTTTATTTTGTTTGTTTGTTTGTTGATACTGAGAACATCTGAACTCTTTGGTGAAATGAGAAAATATCAGCTGTTCATGATGAAAAAAGAGATCCTTTTTCTTAAAGTTTTCTTTCTGCGAAAAATGTAAATATTTCAATGGGTTCACCATAAAAGCAACAAAGAAAACAGTGACCTCACACCCTCTTACCGTTATAGCTTTTTATTTTTATAGCGTGCAACTAGAGAGGCAAATGATACCGAGTCACCCGACATGAAAAGAGAAGTTAAGATAACTCAGACTAGAAATGTATAAAAGGGTCGGTCCATAAGGACCCAAAACCGGTCAAATTCTACTCAGACCCTTTGGAGGCTTGTTAGGATTACATGATCTTGATTGAACTTTGGAAGTTTGTTTCCTTTCTTTTCCTTGTAATTGACCACGTAAAATTCTGCTTGTGCTGCCATCTCATCTACTTCAGCAACAATGCCTTCTACCTGTTCTGCAATCTCTGTTAACAATGATGCCATTGTGGCTAGCGGAAAAATCCCCATTATTGGCACTATTTGAGGCTTCTGTGACATCTCTCCTTTGCAAGTTCTTGAATTTTGTTCATCTGCCTCTGCTACAGGCAGCAAGACTGGTTGCTTCAATAATTCTTTGAACACATTCTGGAAACTTTGAACTGCAAAGTTCATCTCTTGTACAAAGAACTCTGTTTTAGTTGACTTTGTCATGGTTTGCATCGTCATAGCTAATTCTTTTAATACATTTGAAGAACACGAGCTTAGTGTCATGCATACTTCTTTCAGATGCTTCTTTAGCACCTCTGGTGTCTGTAGAATATAAGATCATGCATTCAGAATCTAATACGAAGGGGCAGGTTTGAAGGAAAACAGCAAATATTTTGAGAATATGGGAACCTACTATTCATGCTTTATTCATGATGAATGCCATAATAAATATTTACGATGAAAACCATTCATAAAGAATATACATGATATTTATGATCATTCAAGGTTATTCATCATGAACAATATATGAAATAGTTGGTTCCCAGGTTCTTAAAATATATATGGTTCTCATTTGAACTTTCCTCCCAATTAGAAATAAGGGTGCTTCTATCCCGTCAAGGTTCCCGTGTTTGGGATTGGGGGTGCGTTACCAAGTGTATCTCCAAATTGTTGGAAATATCAAGATTAGGATTTCCATTTACCTGAACTTCTGAATTGATGCAACCATTCAGAGTCTCGATGCAGTAAGCACAACTGCGCATGGAGGCGCCGATTTTGAGGTATTGTTTCCATGGATGTCGAAACTTGAAACGTCCATGAGCAGGCTCCCATCCAGCCAAATTGGCCTGCAGAAGCAGATATATAAGGAGATATATATATATATATATATATATATATATATATATATATATATATATATTAGAGACAGAGGGAGGTTTAGGGGAAAACCCAAAAAAATGAAAAACTATAGACACCCTGGTAACCGTTCATCTAGGCGGTATGCACATGTGTATACAAGTAATTGAAACTATTTCTTGGTTTTTCCGCACATGAAGCTGTTTCTTGGTTTTTATCCACGTGTGCATATTATGCACATATGCATACTAGACAAATGATTTACAAATTACTTGTATGCACATGTGTATACCGTCCTGAAGAACGGTTATCAGAGTATTTCTCAGTTTTTCATTTTCTTTTACGGTTTTCCCCTGAAATTGACCCTACGTATGTGAGAGAGAGAGAGAGATAAGAGTTGAAATGAAAAGGCAAAATCTATATCTAGTTACTGTAGATTTATAGTTTTGAAAATTATGAGGATAGTAAGCAGCATACCATAGCTTCTTCTGTTGCCTTTGAATTAAGCACACATTTGTAACCCTCTTGCTTTCTACTGAATCTTTCCTCATTGTCTTTAAAATAGTCTCTTACACAACCTGCAAGTCATAAAATGAACAAAACCCTCTCTTAAATGCTACAACCCCAAACTGGTGCATTTATGAGTTGTACACTTTTCACAAATGTACAACCCACTAATGCACCAGCGAAATATTTGTTAAGATATGAGTTTGAGTTGATGATATACCATCCAAGGAATCTGCAAGTTTTTCTAGGTTATGATAGATGAGGTTGTGAAGCTCTTTGCCAGCCCAAACAGGATAGAAAAGCATGCTTGTAAGTATGCAAATGGAGGTTCCAATGGCAATGGTTGACACTCTGTTTCTAGCTAGTTCTAACAGCTTATCAACTCGATAGCCCGACATCGACACAAAGCTAAACGTTAGAATGAATATCATGACTCCATAATCGAATCGAGCTCTCACTGATGGTATAAATCTTGAGAAAGTAGCTGCTGCAGCTGCATTTCATCGTTTACTCATTAGTTTCTTGTTACTTTTGCAAGATAACAGTCAGGAAAGTTCCTAGCGGTCTTAAAAGATAACAATTAGGAAAATTCTCAGTGGCCTTGAGGAGACTCAAACCTATATAGGGAGAAGCCCCAAGGACCTGAATCTTTATTTGTCAGTTGAGCTGGTTGGCTCTCAAGTATAATGGTTTCAAGGAATGGTATGTAAACCATACCTAGAATGGATATGGAAGCTTCAAGAACCACAGGCTCGAGTTCTCCGAATTGGTTTGCAATCCAATGCACGCCGATTCCTATAGAGCCCGCTAGAAAAGTGGCGGTTACTCGATTAAAGGATTTAGCTATAGTTGCACCTACACCAGTCAAATGAATATGGTTTAAATACAGAAGGAAGTACAAACAAGAACCGTGAATATTATGAGACTCCAGGAATCAACTATATTATTCATGATGAATAACCCTAAATAATCATGCATGTTTATTATTCATGATATCAGTATCAAACATTTTGATCATGGTATGAATCATTTTGATCATGAATAAAGCATGAAAGTTGGTTTCCGGGTCCTCCAAATATTACAGTTCTCATTTGAACATGTTCCATATGGTATATATACGTAGAAACCATAATCTTGGAGGCCTCCCATGCAGTCAACGTTGCTCAAAAACTGAATGTATTGCGTACGTACCGACAGAGTATTCGAGAGCTACGACAACGGTCATGACCGCCCACATGGCATTGCCGCCAACGCCGTCATAGAGGGGTCTCATGTAATAAAAGAGGGAGACCAAAGAAAGAGCCATGCCTACTTTCAAACCATGGATCACTTTCTTTGGCTCATTTGCTGCTATATTCCTAGCCTTGTTGAAAAACGTGCGGATCTTCATCCAACATTCGAATATTTGGCCTTGTAGTTGTCGGAATATTCTCTTAGCTACTCCGAGCTCCACCTGTGGTGAAACTGCGGCCACATTTACGTTCCATTCCGGTCCATTTGACGGCATTTCTGAGCCGTTATCCTGGTGTAAGATTGTAGATTTTGAGTAGTAGGGTTTATTATATGCAAGAAGGTTGGAAGCATGGCAGGCAGATGGATGGCATGTCGGGGTAGCCCTATATATACAATAATTAAAATGGCATAGAATGGATAAAACAAATACTTGATTATTAGTAGGATTTAAATCGATGAACCATATCCTTCCCACTTAAAAATAGACAACATATGATGATGTATACATACATTATTTTTTTAGATATAAATAAATAAGTAGTGAATGAGGGGTATGGAAAATAGGAATGGAAGTTGATTTTCTATTTTGTTTTTATTTTAATATTTTAAAAACAGATTTGTAACTTGTATGGAGTAATTTGAGTTTAAATGTCAATTTATATATAAGACTTTTTACTTGTGTCCTAAGTTAGGTCACTCAACTCATCCAATATATTCATTTAAATATAAAGGTGTTAAAGCATTTCAAAGTTTGTGCTACAGTTAGGTCATAACCTTTCATTTTTATTTATTTATTTCTAAATCATATTTTATTTTAATAAACACACACACACACAAATATATATATATATATATATATATATTTTTTTTTTTAATTAACATTAAGACTTACTTTTTATATTCGATAATCTAACTTAATAGTTGATACCGATCTAAAAAGAAATGCATTTAGCATTTCTCTTCTCGTAATTAAGAGATATGGAACCTAGCCTTGATCACACCATCATAAAACTATCAATGGCATATACCAACCATCATTTATTCAAACAATACAAGATTTCTTTTCTTATAATCATAAAAAATCATGAGTATTAATCAAAATATAGCAAACATATTATTTTGAAATAACATGACTTAATACACATCAAATCTAAAGTAATCAAGTTATACAACATAAAAATCATTTCAAATCAAACGCATTCAATATGAAAGTGACGTCAAAGAGTTTTAGATCAAATTATCAACATATCCTATGTAGGGGCTGGTCTTCATTGGTACTTGGTTTTGTCCTCATGTGTCGGTCCCTATGATTCAACAAAAACTTAGTCCTTCCCATGACCAACAACTGATCCTTCACGTGTAAACTATAATTGGTACGGATTCAACAATCCTTACTAGATCCAATATTTTTAATGAAGAAATAATCTTTATTGATGTTTTTAGTAAAAATAATAAATAAATATTAGTTACTCCACAAAAGTAATGTTTGGTCACCCAATTTTAAAAATTATTCATGGTAACGGCATTGACGAGGCTTGATTTTTTATCGATCTTTTTCCAAACCAGCTTTTCACCGGTTAAGACTCAAGAAATAAACCATTCTAGGCCTTAAAGACTAACTTGGAGTAGAGATGGCAAAAATGGGCCCCGTCCAACTCGGGACAACTTAGCACCAGGACTAGGACTGAGACAAATTATGGACCGAGGTCTGGGACCAGTTATGTTTTTTATAAAAATTCAAGACCAGGCACAACCCAACCTGAGACTATAGCAGTTTTTTACATGGGAAACGGGTCGGTGGTTTTGGTTGAGACTAAGCCCATGACCGGTTACAAAATAAAAATCTTGGACTATGTACCAAATACTAATATGAGACTAACTTGACCAAAGATCGGTTTTTGACCATCTCTTTAAACACCGATCCCTCTTGGTTTGGTTTAAATAATAGGCCTATAATTTCATCTTATTTTGTGGTTTCAAAGCCCAATTAGCCCACGTATGGTCCACGAAAGACTAGTCCTTCCTGGACCTACTGCCAATCCGCCAAGCCAACTGTTGCTATCTTTACAGAAGCTTGATGACATGATTGAGTTGGGTACGATTGGGAATGATTGCAGATTATGATGCCATGCCGTTCCGTCAAGAAAATCCCCGTTAATTATCAAACAAAATTCTGGACAAGGAATACGGAGCAATCCAGCAACCCAAGAGTTACAGAATGTACATCTTCATCTTCATCTTCTCTTATCTCTATCTTTCCAATTTTCTAATCTTACTTGATTCCACTGAATATATATATATATATATATATATATATATATATATATATACATACATACATATATGTGTGATTCATAATCTGCGCCATCTCTCGACCTCATTTCGGTTTCTGCTATTTGCATTTTAAGGTTTGTTGTTATCAATTTTGAGATAGGTTTTGATCGTCTGGGAAATCGAGTTATATGGAAGATGAGGGGTTTCCCCCCTTTGGTCTTTGATATTTAGAACTCAATCAGATGCTGATGCTCTTGAGTTCTTCAATTGCATATCAATTTGCACGTACTTAATAACCTCCTACACAGCTGGTTACCAACATTTGATGCTATTTCTTAGCATACTTGAGGTGGTTGTGCTAGTGATGATATAGGGATTTAGTTGAACTATATTTGGCAAACTAGTCGATAAGCTATGTGTTAAAAGCTAACAACCCAGTTCATAAACTAGTGATGTAAGGTAAAAGGTAATTGATAAGCTAGATGACTATGTAATATGACTTAAATAAGACACTTTGTAAAGTTATTGGGAAAATACAAGGGGAATAACCGGAAAGTAGTATAAAAGATTCCCTATAGTTTATTGAAATGCTACTTAGAGCCTGTTTGGTTGCAGTTTAATGAGTTAATTCACAACTTATTTGGTCGGCTATAGATGACTGTTTGACGGTGGCTTAATTATATAGAAAGTTGCTTGTTCAGTAAGCTTTATGCAGAAAGCCGAGGTTTTTCCCAACTTGCCACTTCCAATTAAAAAACTTGTTCCTTTCATTTAAGAAAAAAACCCTCCCAAGCAAAAACCTTCATAATCCATACAGATAAGTTATTCGACACAAACAATTTTATCCATACAAGACTTAATGGAAAAACCAACTAAACAGCCTTTTGAGTGGCTTTTAGAAAGGGTGGCTTAGGGCTAACCAAACGGGAATTTTTCAATATGGCCTTAGTGTAACTCGGGCTAGTCTAATAAGAATATATTTGTAATTCTTTGACCAATGCAAGCCACGGACAGTCGTTCAGTATGCTGTCGCGTTCAAATAAATCAACTCTAGATAGCATGGACTGATGGTGCGGTCCAAATTTTAATGGAAATAATTAGTCAAGATTCGAGGCATAGGCACATGTAATTTTAAAGTGGGTAGTTGCATATCTTCTTAAAACGTGAAGGACGAAAAGGAAAAACAGCGTGTTGAAGTACAATCATATGATCAAATTTTCTTTTTGGTAGAACCCACAACTGTCAAGTTAATCTTTATGAGTCATTGCACTTTCTTACCCTCAGTTATTCTAAAAGGGGAGGGGGGTTGCAACTAATGATTGAAAATATCATGTAGACGTTGAGCATGCTGCTACAAAATTATTAGACTGGTTACTTTTTTCATTTCAATCACAAAAAGTATTCTCTTTTTTTGTTCCACCTTGTTCCATGGCATGTTCCACTTTGTTCCACATAAAAGTCTTGCTAAATTTGAAATAGTGATCCATGTTCTGTTCTGTCCTATGTACCAAAAGCACCTTTAGGGAAAAGGATGAAGGGTTGAATCAATCTCATGTTCATTCATAAGCCGATATTCAAACTAAGCTTTTCTTTCTTTTTTGTATTATTTGAGATGATCAAACCAATCTCAATCAGTAATGCACCAAATTCTCAAATGCCATCATTGTGTCTGGGCACATTTCCTCAACTTTCACATTTATATTCAACTTGTGCACATGTTGTCTCTGTTTGGCCTTGCATTCTTAGACTTTTCTAACTTTAGTAGGATTACAAACTCTTGCATTTTGGTGCCACTTTGTCCACCCTTCTTGTATCCTATGGCTAAAATCATCATCAATCTCGCCAATTTTTATGTCATTTATGAGTCCATATATACCTAAAACGGTGACATTTAGACTTATGGGCTGTTTGGTTTGTTTTTCATGAAGTTCTGTATGGATAAAGCCATTTGTGTGGATTAATTTGTCTGTATAAATTGGGAAGGTTTTTGTTTGGGAGGGTTTTTTCATAAACGTAAGGAGCGTATTTTCTAATTGGGAGGGATAGGTTTGGAGAAAACTTGGCGTTCTGCATGAAGCTCCCCCTAGAAGCTTACTGAATAAACCACTTTCTATATCATTGAGCCACGACCAAACAGTCATGTATAGTTGACCAAATAAGCTGCAAGTCCCATTAAGCTTATTAAGCTGCTAACAAACAGGCCCTTAAATGCCTTCTCTAGTGCAATAGTGTATGGAAGACATCGGTATTTATATCACATGCTTTCACAGTAGTTACTACTCTCAATTGTGCATGCCTAGTAAAACTTACATAGGCACTAGAGTTATGTTGCTTATAGCACAATCTGAAGTGAAAAAGGCACACAATTTTAGAAATGCTTAATTATTACATAATTAACTAAATGACGAAGTAATGAATTTCGCAATCTCATAATTAAGGGTAGAATTGGGAAGTAATAACTCTGTACTTAAACAATAATGTCGAAAAGAGAACACTTGTATTGTTTGAAAAAGATTGCTCATAACCCGAAAACCTCAAACTCTGACTCCAAAGATTACACACTTAATGCAAATTGTGTCATCATCATCATCTAATTGTAAGTACTCTAAAGATACACACTAATACCAGTTGTGTAATCATCATCTAACTGTAAGTACAAGCTACAGATCTAAGTAATATGACTGTTGAATTCCATGTGAAGAATTGAAGGAATCCAACATGAGGAAACATTATAAATTTATCTCGCAAAAGAAATTCAAACCCAGACTTCAAATCCACTTGAAAAATTAAGCTTCAATTATACAATGTTGACGAACCCCCACCCAATGCCTCGTTCCAGTATCCAGTTGAATTCCCCTGTCCCATATTTTGATTATTCTCCCTTGATGAATGTTGTTGGTTCAACACTCCAAAGGGTAACATGATTCTTTCACCATCTTCTTGGTTTCCTTGAAAATTTCCATACTTGATTCCATTCCCTTGAAATGGGAAACCCATCGTTGGCTTGAAGTCTTGAAGACTGAATCTTGTTTCGTTGAACATTGTGGTATCTGTTGTGCTAAAAGAATTTAAGCCATCAGACGGCGTTCTAGCCCTAAGAAAATCTTGCGCTGAAACTGAACCCAAAGTACTAGAAGCCAAAGAAGAAGATAAAAAAGTAGCATTGCTATTTTCGATCTTTGGTAGCTTTAGGAATTGAGAGAAACCATGGTGATACTCTTCTTGTGTGGCTTGGAAACCTAAGTTAAGATCTTGACCTTCATGGGTAGTGAAATTTTGGGAAGAAAACTGTGAGAGATCAATTGGTTTTGGCATGGATGATGAGGTAGAAGTAGTAGACGCTATCGATCTCTTGTTCTTTCTTGAGCCGCCACCAACAGGAACGCTTCTGAGGGACCCACCTTTAGTCCAATACCTCTTGCAACCTTTGCAGAAGTATCTTGGTTGAGTTAAGCTATAATTGTTGTAGTAACAGAACTTGGTGTTGGTTGAATTGCATCTTGGACAGTTGAGAGCTTGTTCATGTTGTGGCTTTATCTTTCTTTCTTGAACTTGATTGTAGCTTCCATTATTATTTCTAACATCCTGAAATCAATCAACTCCTCCCCATGTCAGAACTATTTAGGAAAACATCTTTACTTGAAAAGATTAGATAGAAAGAAAGAAAAAAATTGACATAAACAGACACAGAAATTGCTACAAGAAACAACCGATAACTTTATGTCTTTGAGGATCCCCAAAAGGCAAAAAAGAAAGTGAACAGATTGAATTGAAAGCTAAAAAAAGAAAAAGGGACCAGAACAAAAACCAACATCATCTGCTTAACAAAACTAAAACCTTTTTTGTTTTTTTTTCATATCAAAAACAGGTTAAATATATATATAAACTGACCTTAGGCCATTGAGCAGCATCCATGAGTGGGTTGAGAAAGGAAAAGGGCTGGTTCTAATGAGCAAGTTAGAATGATTTTGAAGGAGAAAATGAAGGGTCTGCAAATGTGTAAATATAAAGAAGCAGGGAAAGAATGTTTTGGAATTCTATTGTGTTTTGGCTTTATTTGGTGAGTTAGATTTGTATAATGACTGATGACAGAAGCAGAGGATTTTCTTTTTGACTTACTGTTGTGAAATCAAACTATTTTAGTGTTGCTTTTTGTTGGTGGGTTGTTTGTTTATTTGATGAGTGGAGGTGGAATTTTGAGGCATCAATGGTGGATTTCTACTTCTTTGAAACCCC